GTGCGTGGCTGAGGAAAAATAGTTCACACCAGATGGCGTCTTGTTTCTCTGCAGCTTTCTGGCAATTGTTTTATTTATTTAGAAAATGTGTATAGATCCATACATAACTAACAACAATTTATAATAAACAATATGAAACATACCCATAATATAAGAGTCCCAGTTTGGTCCAGTGGTTAGGGCACCAGACTAGAAACAGGAGACGGTGAGTTATAGTCCTGTTTTAGGCATAAAATCCGACTGGGTGACTTTGGGCCAATCACCAGGAGACGGTGAGTTCTAGTCCCACCTTAAGTTATAGAAAGTGTGTGGGTGACTTTGGGCCAATCACCAGGAGACGGTGAGTTCTAGTCCCACCTTAGTTATGAAAACTCTGTGGGTGACTTTGGGCCAATCACCAGGAGACGGTGAGTTCTAGTCCCACCTTAGTTATGAAAGCTGGCTAGGTGAGTTTGGGCCAGTCCCTCTCTCTCAGGCTAACCCACCTCACAAGGTGATTGTTGTGGAGAAAATAGAAGATAGAAGGAATATTAGATATGTTTGTTACTTGAGTTATTTATTAAGTAATAAAGGGATTAAAATCAGATTGGTTGAATAGATGGATGGATAGACAGAGATCGGTGGATGGATAAATGGTTGATTGGATGGATGGATGGATAGAGATCGTTGTGTAGAGATGCATAGATAGAAGAATTAGAGGAGAGATCAGGCTCTGCAGCCACATGTGGCTCTTTCATCCCTCTGCTGCGGCTCCCTGTCACTCAAATATGTGTCACAACCGCCAATATGTGACCCCCGCCGACATGTGATTTATTGAGTTTTTCGACCCCCGTTAGGCCAACCATGGTTAAATCCAAGAAAGGAAGTTTCAGAAGAAAACACAACATTTAATTGAACTAGGCAGGCTAATTTTGTGGCCACTCAGGAAATAGTCAGGCGTGGGACGGGTTTTCTTTTCTGTGGGAAACTGGTCCAAATGTCTCTCTTGAGTGTTTAAGGTTGCCGGCTCCTGGGATAGATTATAGTATAATTGATTGAGAGAAAGATTGTGAGAAATGGATTGATTGCTAAAGGGGAAGGGGAAACTTTTCTGTGCCCGAGACCCAAGACCGAGGCATGGTTTGTAAAGGTATGTGACTTTCCTGGAGGCAGTATGAATTAAATACCCAGTTTACATGCACCCCTCCAAAAAAAAAGGGGGGGACGACAATTTTGCTTCTTCCTGTATCCCTTTGAGACTTTGATCTGACCTGTAGGTGGGACCTCATGGCTAAAGTTAACACTGAACCCGGATTTATTTCCCAACTGAGATGCCCTGCAGGAATAGATTACCTCTATGCCAAAAGTGGAATCCAGGGCCACACTCTCAGAAAGCTGAGCCGATGGGAAGCTGGGAATGAGAAACCACAACGCGACATGACCCAATAGCTGCTTAAATAGCAAATTCTTATGATTCTGAGAAGGGACGCAGTGGCTAAGACGCTGAGCTTGCCAATCAGAAAGGTCAGTAGTTTGGCGGTTCGAATCCCTAGCGCTGCATAACTGAGTGAGCTCCCGTGACTTGTCCCAGCTTCTGCCAACCT